ACTGCCCTCACCTTGAGGTGTCACCATCCACCAGAAGTTCTTTTGCAACCTTGGGAAAAGGTGCAGCTTTGTTGCTGGAGAGATGTCCACACCTCATGGGGTCAGCAGCATTATCATGAGGAGCGAATGGGAGAAGCTCCAAGTCATCATTTCTGTCTGGATTAACATAAAGGAGCAAAGTAGTAACACTTGAATCTTCTATTATTTGCTGGCTTGTGTCTGGATGCTCTAATCTAGCTTCCAAATGAACTGGGAGAAGAGCTGTGGTCCTCCTGCTAAACTGGTCTCCCCTGTGTTGTGCTACTGCTTTTGTTTCCCCAGAGTCAATTGTAGACTGTGAGGCGGTTCACTTGGGGAATATCATAATAGCACCCCTGTGAAATGGAAAGACTAATACTCACAGTGTGTTTCCTGGGACACTGTCTTAGTTTTTAGGTTTCCCTCATTTCAGAACATCAGATGGGACAAAAATTTATGGTGTTTAGGGAGTGGGTAAAAAAAAAATTATGGTGTTTATCAGGGCTTCTTGATGACTTCAGATATGTGATTTCCTTCCCCTTCCAAAAGAAATTGGAAAAAAAGAGAAAAATCTAGTTTGGTTGTTACAGGTTAGGAAATATTTTCTTGGCACATTCATATTTTATGAAATTTCAGCCAGGTGTGGTGGCACATGGGTGTAATCTCAGCCCTTGGGAGGTTGGAGCAGGAAAATTGTAAATTCGAGCCTAGCCTGGGTTACATAGTGAGACTTTGTCCAAAAAGCAAAACAAGACAAGACACCCAACCCCCATCAAACCAACCTACCCCACAAACCCAAAAGAAACAGACAAATACATTTTGTGAAATTTGCATTTCTTTGAATTACTAATGTGCTAAGATAGATTGCTGTAGATTAGGAGGAATATAGAATCTCAGGGTCAGAGGATAGTAGAAGTTTTCCAGTTCAACTATCATCTATAATGTCTTAAACATGTTTCCAGAATACCAACATTTGTTTGCTTGTTCTGAGTCATAAATGCTATGTGTTGGTCCTATTTCTCTGGATACACTGAGGTTGGTTTGACTTCCTTCTTCTGATTCTTATTTATGGAACTGCCTACAGCCTTTTTCCAAACTTTCTTCAGATGCCTAGGGATGTTCTGTGTCTTGAATATGGTATAATTTTTTTTTAAAAAATTATTTATTTATTTATGTGTGTGTGTGTGTGTGTGTGTGTGTGTGGCCAGCTCAGCCCACCAGGGGGCGGGGCTGGCTGGCATGTGGTGCTGG